TCCCTGCCCCCACCCGGAGACGGAGGGGAAGGGGGAGGCGGTGGCCCGCAGCCCCGAGACCGCCCCCTCCCGCCACCGGGCCGCACTCACCCCTCCCGATCCCGGCGCACCCGCCTCCCTCGGCCGGACGCCGGCAGCGCCGCCGCCACCCCAAGGCCTGCGCAGAGCGCGGCGTAGCCAATCCCGATGCGCGTTGGAGAGGCGCCGACCAATCCCAGTGGCCGGGGGGCGGGGACTGACGAGAGGAGTTTGGGGGGGGGGCCTCCCCGCCCGCCGCAGGGCGCCGTGACAGGGGTGCGCGCACACACGCACCAACTCCGCGGGGCCACCCCCACTCCAGGACGGCGCGCATGCGTGCGCCCTCCCAGACGCGCGCGTGCGTACACTCAAAAAACTGCTGCATTTGGTTCTTCCCACAACGTGCCTCGCTCCCCTCGGAGTGGCGCCGGCAGCCACGCCCCCCACTGACGTCACACCGCTTGCGCCAGGGTTCTCCCGAGAGGGAGGAGCTGCGTTTCTCCTCCTCCCTTCAGAACGGGGCATGTGCAGTCCCCTCCTCTCCGTGCATGTGGCGTGTCCAGGGTCGCCAAGCGTTGCGATAGGTGGAGCGCCCTGGCAAGCATCACCTGTGAGGAATGCGGGGGTTCCCAGAGCATTTGAGCCTTCCTGCACGTTTTTAAGGCCGTTAGTAGCTCTCCTGGTTGCAGAGGGAAACCCCTCCCAGCCCCAAATGTCACCTGCGTGGAGGGAGGCAAAGGGGGAGCCAGGAGGGGAAACGAGTCCTGCTTTTAAAAAAAAAATTGGGATTTCTGTTGCTTGTCTTCAGATTTTCAAAGGCTGGGGTTTGCAGCAGTGACTCTCACCGAGAGTGCTGCTGCACCCTGGGGCACCTCGAGACCCTTTCAGGGTTGCCACCAGGTGCCAACACTGTTAGGAAGAGGAAGAGGTGGCATTTTCCAGTGGGTGCCTAGAGTCTAGTGGAGAGTGCCTTGAGTCATTATAATAAAGTTGAGAAGCACTGATCTATATCATAACATAAGCCACAGGAGCCTCAAAAGCTGTCATCCGCCCACGCATGCAGGGTAGCCATGTAAATCCTGACATGCATCCTGGCCAGACATTCAGAGGCACTGCTCTCAGTGTCAATGTGTAGGGGGTGCACCCACCTGAGAGCGCTAGTGCCGGCTATGCTGGGCTGGGGCATAACAATCGATCTGCGAGGGGGGATTCCCCCCAGTCAGTGAGATTGGCCAAGGGGGACTTCCCCCCCACACACGGGTCATAGGAGAACCACCCCCCCAACAGAGAGATTGGTCATGGGGGAAGCCCCCCAGGCCACTGGGGGAGCACATGCCCCTCCTGACTGAGGTGGCACCAGTTGCCCATGACTGCACTGTAGGGAGAGACTTGCAGAGAGGTGCTCCTTAGAGCAGCCTGTGGATAATGACCCAAAAGTGGGTCACAAGAATATATGAAAGGTCACAAACAAACTTAAGTTTTTGTTTTTACTTTCAAATAAATTATTGTTAGCCTTTTCATCACTATAAATAGTGTGGCAAAGGGGAGGTAGAATAAATTGTGCTGGTAATTTTACATTTCATTTCTACAAACTATTTTACTTCTCAAGGAAGCAAGCTAAAAAGTAAAATACACACTCTTACTGTAGAGAGACAGGAAGAAAGACGTATAGTAGGAAAAAAAGAAATTTTGTGCACGTAGGGAGTAATATATATTGTTCTAGAGTAGGGATTTTGGAGCAGGGGGCTAGTTTAATGGAGTTCAGCTTTGAGTGTGCGCCTTTTCCAACCCAACCTGCCTCCCCACCAGCATAATCAGTGTTTCTTACACGTAGTTCCAACCCTGCCTTAGAAATTCCCCAGCTGCCAAAACACTGCAGAAGCCCCCTGAATGCTGCAGAAGCCCCTGACTCCATGGGCTGGATAAAACAGCTTGGGGGTAGCAAGAGGGTGCATAGGTTGCCAATCTTTGTTCTAGAGAACGGGCTAGGCCAAAAGCCGAGTATACCGTACTTAGTGCACAAAACCAGGCATGGAGGAAGAAAGACTGGTATTGATCTTGGTATACAAATATAAAGAGAAAGAGGCATTGTTCTGGGCATCTAGACAAACCGAGGAAGGTGCTGAGTTTTGTATATAAAAAGAGATTTATATGATGAATTTTGGGGCACTAATATGGTCAGTGAACACTTACTGTGGTATGCATTTAGCGAAAGCTCAGTTAATTTCAGTTATGTTACTGTTATTTATAAGGCTGAAAAAATTACCTTCTATACTGCAAGAGTTTGGATCATAAAACTCCTCCTTCACAGTCATCAGAGAAAAGACCTGAATCACCAGCTTTGTTTAGACTATTTCAAATGCATTATGATTACATACACAGCTAGGTAAAGGTTCCCCCACACACTGTCCTAATAGTTAAAAGAAAAAGCAAATGTACATTGAAAATGACAGAAGATTGTCAGTTATGATGGTTTCTTAGTCTAGTTCAAAGGAGAACTTATCAAAATACTTCACTCACTTGTATATATCACCCATCAGCTCTCCTCCCATTATCCAGATTATGGATCAAGTCAAAATTAACAATTTGTAAACACAAAGGATGCTTATTGGTACTGACACATACAGATTGAGAACTGAAGGCATCTCCACAGAAGAAAAATATCAAATATTTGTGAGACAATGTCTTATCACACCACTCCATGGAAACATATGCATAGTTTTGACAGGAATGTCAGTCTGAATGGAAAGAAACTGCTATATATATATTTACATTAAAGGATCAATTTGCACTTCTCAATTATGGAGCCAGATAGGACTCCTCAGACAGATTTGTTTCAAGACCATAAAAAGTAACAGAATCATTTACAAGGCAATATGGACATAATATAAATCAGGGAGTGTCTTTCCACTGACTGTAAAAAGCTTTAGAGCAGATATACATGTATCTGTGTCAGTGTAAGAATGTGCTATCATCATAATCAAGATACTAAATAGATAAATGCATGCTTGACAAACACCTCAAAGACAGACTCTTCACCTGAAGAGCATTTATTAAATTTACTGAGTGGGATAAAACAGTGCGATACAAATTCCACACGTATTAAATCTCATTTCCTTCTCTCTACCATTTATGAAAAATGCCATCTTATATTCTCTTTTTGGTTTAGTTCATAAGCCTTCTGATTTTTCCTGTCAAATATTTTAGGTTTTTATTTAAGTTATTTTTGTTCTTTGATTACTCTTCCTTCAAGTACTAATCTCTTTATTCATTGCTTTTGACTATTTTAGTCACTCATTTTTAGTAATAAATCATCCATTTTTACCTTTTCTTGTTAAATTAAACTTCATCTATTATTTCTTTCTTTTATTCTGCTGCATTTAATGCTATTGTCATGGTAAGCCTGTCTTCCTTTCAGCAATGAATTCTTCCTCTTCATTTATGACCAATCCTCTTTCTCCTGAAGATGAATAATTAGCCATATTCATTTTGTGGGTCATACTGGAGTGAAAAGGTATGCTCATATTGCTGTCACTGGTCTTCAGATTGTTTTGATTCTTAAGGAACTGCTGGGGAAGTGTTATGACTTATCTGTAGAAGGATGTATTGATGGTGGGATTCTTTCCCATGTGGCAGTATGTTAGGGATATGGCAACTTCCTATTACTATCCAGATAAATGGGGGTGGGGTGTTTTCTCATGCCTATTCTCTTCCTCTGAAGGCTGCTTATGATTCTCAGGTAATGATTAGGACTTATTAAAGGGCTGAATGTAGGAGATTATTGATTGGATTCTGCTTCCACATGGTGCTATATGAAAGTTTTGTGCCCCACAGCAGCTCCAAAAGCGGTAGGAAGAGACAGCAATAAAAAGAATAATCATACTTGTTACACAGCAGTTAGTCTCTCCTGTATTAATAATATACATGTTAACAATAAATGACTGCACAGCACAAATCCCTTTTTCTAGAATATCAGACCAAACGAGAACATAAGGATCATCTAGTCCAGCATCCTTCTTCACCAATAATTCAAATAAAAATATGAAAGAGGACAGAAAACAGAGACATGGAAAAAATGCAGTGATACATTTCTGAACAAATACTGTAGTCAAACAACAGATGACATAAGTGTTAGCAATGCAGTCCTTCCAAGAATCTCCCAGAGCAGCAAAGCAATCTCTAACATAAAAAATCAAAATAGCACTGCAAATTAAGAGGCAAGAAACAGTATCTGAGACTTACAAACTAAGCAAAAAGATATGGGGAGTTCCAATAACCACATAATGTTAATGTAACACTGTCTTGACAAATAAATGTACATTCATAATATAACAATAAGGGGATGCTGGTTCAATAAATTGAAAGGCAACAAATTTAAAACTGGTATGAGGAAATACTTTTTAGTATAAAGCACAGAAGCGTTGTTAACTTATCCTACTAGGTATTATTGAAAATGTGTAGCAGGGTGCAAAACATAGAAGACAAAATGATATTTTATAGGTAACGTGATCATTCAGAATTTCAATAGTAAAAATTACAAACACAATCCAAGGATGATGGAAAGAATATGATCTATGCCTTGAAGCTTAAGGATTTAAAACAAAACTTAACTGAATTTTATAAGAATCAACCTTCCTTATGGGCAGGTTATTCCATAACTGTTCCACATTATCTTTTATTCTGAGCACTTGATGCACACCACCATTGAAAACAAAATATGCAAGCAGCTTGACTCATCTTGTTCAAAATGGCTATCCTATATTTCTAAATGCTTTTCAGGTATTAATTATATGTTAACATAAATGAACCTAGAGTTGTAGATAGTTTGAATAAAAATCACTTCTCACATTATCAAAGACATTCCTTTTTTCCTGTGATGCTATAATCCCTGTTGTCCACACAGAGTCATAGAATCATAGAAAGAAGGACCAGAAGGGGCCTGTAGGATCATCAAGTCTGGCCTCCTGCCATGGGCAGGAGGTAATTGGACTCAAATGAGCTCAACAAGGTATTTGTCCAGCCTCCTCTTAAAGACTGCCAGAGATGGTGACTATACCACTTCTGCTGGAAGTGTGTTCCAGATGCTAGTTACCCGTATGGAAAATAAGTTTTTCCTTATGTCCAGCCAAAACTTTTCCTTGACTAGCTTGTGTCCATTGGTCCACATCTTCCT